TGCAAACGGGACCTGAATGTTGACATTTCTATGTCACTCTTTTATAGACTTTTCTACTATCCCCCACTCCAACAAAAAACTGGAAGAGAGGATGATGGAGGTTCCTCTTGATTTGGGGTGAGATTTTCTCTACTTTCCATATAGAGTGGCCCTGACAAATGAATCTCAGGGTATTCAGTAACTGCCACAGAAATACCAAGGAAGACTACATACCTGGTATAAAAAAAATGCAAGAGGAATAAAAGAATAGGAACTAGTGAACGCAAAATTCTCCTTTGTGGTATAGTTTGTGCAGTTGGCCATGTCAGAGAAGAGCGGATGTACAACTCTGCTATGCCAAAATGGTAGTAGATGGTGACTTGCTATTAACAGGTACATATAGTAAAGTGCCATTGAGAACCTGCTCAAGGGTTTACACGGAATTGGAATAAGGCTCTCAAGCAGGGCGAGCATAAAATAAAGGTAAGACAAAGTTAGAAGGCAAAACCCACCACTGGGAGGTTTTCCAGGTTATAAGCAACCTAAGTCTTCCAGTAAGTAGTGGTTTCTATTTCTGATGATGTTTGCGATGGCTTGACCTAGACTGAAAATATGTAACTGACAGTCCTACAAGTATTACTGGCAACTACAACTCCAAATTAAGGTTAATGGTGCAGTCTCATCTTGTTTAGGAAACAGCCTTGAGATCTTTGAAAGAAAAAAGCTTTTATCAACTCCTCTGTGTCCCTGCCATGTCTCTGTACATATATAGTTTAGAGGTATATTGTATTATGTTGTAGTATGACTGTTCTTATTCTTTCCTTTTCACTGTTCAGGAAACAGTGATCTGTTTCCTGAACATATTTCTGACTTCTTTTTTGCTTTTGAACCCAAAATTCAATTCAAATTTAGACTTGAGTATGATTCTCAAGCAAGACATACAACTTAGGGCAACATTCAGTTACCCTACTTACCTTTTTCTGCAAACAAATAGGGGTAAGTTTACCCTCACTTACATTTGAGCAGCCCTAAAATAAGTAAAATGTTTAGTGTTCTTTGTCAGGAAGATTTTCTGAACAACGGAAGAGAAAAGATAGTAAAGAAAAGAGAACAGCAGAAGAGAAAAAGTACTTTTCCCCTCTCCTTTCTTACTATTGATTCTAGCATAAAAGAATATCCTAAAACCATGTTAGACTATCCAATGGGAATTAATTTGATGCAATCTGTTGCATTCATTGGGAAAAAAAATCCTAATACCAGGTTTCTGCTTCAGTTTTTCTCTAGTAGAGGAGGACAGAATTACATCCAGCACCTTTGGTGTTGTGCAATAACCAAGTCCAGTGTAAAATGCAGCTGGCCAGCTGCTTGAGGATCGTTCCTGGGCTGGGATTCTCAGGAAGCAAAGAGCCTCCAAAATCACTGATCTTTGCAGAAAGAGTATTTGGGAGATACACAGGCTGTTGTCAGCCTTCGGCCACAGTGGTCTCCAGTTGCTTCAGTAAACCTTTTGCCATCAGAGTGCTCCAGCAGACCCAAGACTCGTGATCCCTTGGTCCAAAGGAGCATGAAGATCACTTTTAGTTACCATTTCCCTTAAAGTTCTTGTTTCTCTGCTGACACTGTTCGTTGTATTCGATGACTTCAGCAGTAGTCTTGCAAAAGGCCATAATTCATACAGTGAAAGTAACAACTCCATCAGTAAGGCATGAAAAACTCATCAGACCAAACAGTTTGGCTTCAGCTGTTCCTGTATTGAAAATGTCCTGTTGGAGGTCATATAGTGATGTAAAAAGAAGGACAACGGGATTGGCATGATCAATTCTTTTAGTCCTTTGAGCCATTGAGTGTAGCCTCAGTGATTGTCATGTTGGGGTTAGGGATCAAAGAAGAAAGTTTAAAGTAAAAGTAATGAAGCTACTGTTACATAAGTTCCTTTCAGCTAAACACAAGCAACTGCCCCCACCTTTATTCAAAGTAGGTTTGCTCAGCAAAACCTACTGTGTACAGCAAGAAGTTTCAATGAAGAAGGACCACCAAGATAAAAAGCCCAACTGCCAGCAAAAATTCTGCACCCAACAGTCTCTACAGTGAAACAGGCTCTTGAATAATTGAGACACACAACTGCAAGAAGTAAAAAAAAGTATAGCAACAAGTAAGAGTACCACGGTGGATTTGAGTGCCATTCTTTCCTTTCCTATTCAACCTTTAAGCAACATTTCCATTAATTGGGTAAACTTACCCTATTATACACATTGGTTCAGCTTCGGCTTGAGTAATTCTGATTGAACAAATCTGCACAATTCTGTTTTCCGCAGATTGTATTTTAGCAGGTTCCCTAAAATTAGTTTAATCATTTGAATACAGGTTCTATTCTGTACATATCTAGATGACAAAACTGCTACCTTATTCAATGCTTTTGTGGATTGTCCTAGCAAAGTCACAAAAGAGAAAATTGGCATTGGAACTCTACAACATTCTCTGACTTCTACAGAAGGGTTGGCAAAAAATGTGGCCTCCTTAGATTTTAAACTTCCAAAGTAAAAACTTCAATTTTTTTGAGAAATATTCTGATTCCTCATTGGTTCGAAAGTCAAATTGATCATGAATAAAGGCTTAGCGCAATAATGGTGCCATCTAACACTATTGCCACTTCCTTGATGTATAAGCTGGTCCAGTTAAGCAGCTTTAACTTTTCTCACTCAGTACTACTAATTTAACTTCAATTAAAGCAAAGTATCCTTCCTCTTCCTCCAGCCCAAGATAGGTACAGCTTAATTACAACTGTGTGCTATGCTAAGTGATGGGTTAACAAGTGAAATCACAATGCTGCCAGTCTAGTTGTTGTGACTGTAAATATGTCAGCCACAGTTGCAGCAGCAACTTTGGGGTTTGTTTTTCCAACAGATTTAAGCTGGAATTTTCAGGAAATAAGGAGGCCAGGTCACCCTGCTTTTCATGAGCTTAATCAACCTAACTGTGTCCATTCCTGGAATAGCTGAAGCTGTCTGATTTACATGCAACCAAGCTTGAAATGTGCCCACTGACTGGCAGGTTCAAGTACATTTTGGTCAAAAGGGAAAGATCTATTATATTGAGGAAATGGTTATATTTTCTTCTGTCTACCCAGATTTACTTGTAATGCTTTATTCTGTGTACCTAGCTGCAACCATCCATAAGGTTTGCATTTTCTAGTTATAATTATAAAAAAGGCATGTTGGAACTTTTAACTAGACACATAGAAAGGCATTCCTTGTTACAGTTCACTGAATTAACCCATCTCATTCGTGAATCATTAATGATACTGACTGCTGGGTAAATTTACTTTGGTTGTAAACCTATAAATGGCATGGGAAGATGTGCTAGAATGATTTTTCATACTTAGCTTTTAAACGAGAATATAATAGTTTCAAGGAAGGTAGAGAAAAGATACACAGCAACCTTAAAAAGTTAACAGTTTTCATTCTGTAAGATTAATTCTACCATTCTGTTTCTTGTAGTTGTATATTGCAGTGAGTGAGTATATACAGACATACAGAAGTTGTCCACTTTAAGACTGTCCATTATGGGAGAAACTTTTTAAAACTGCTTCTTGATGTGGCTTATTTACAGTGGATAACAGATACAGTTTAAAAATCAGGTAATTCAAAACACACGTGATGTTATTTGGAGTTATGAAGTGATCCAAAGTAGGAAACAGCAAGTCTGAATATGAAGAAGCATTTTCCTGAGGATCACAGCTGAGGAAAATGGACAGTTGTGTTTTCATTTAGACATCCTCACTCTTAACTTCAAATATAAGGTGTCATGTAATTAGTATAATTAGGATATATGAATAGATTAATATTCAGAATGGAATAATTATGTTCATTATTTTCTTTTATTGAAGGAGATAGGCATATATAAAGATTTATTGAAATATTTTCCATCAGGACAGAGGTGGTATAAATTCAGGAATACATTGTGGCTTTAGCACAGCTGCATGGGAGAATTCCTCTAACTAAATACAAGCAAAAATTTTCATCTTGTGAGAATTTCTTATGTTTCAAAATTTTTTTTCCCCCTAAAATAGGAAACCCCAAACACAAACACTTTATCAAGGAAAAATTCAAACAACCTTCATGCAGAAATTATGTTCTTAAAGGGAATATACCTGTCACATAACTTTTTTACTACTTTTCACTGTTTTGCTATAGGATAGTTTGCTGGACATCATGAAAAAGTGGTACACCTCAGGCACACACAAAAAAGCACATGGCTTTGAAGTATTTTGAAGCATGTTACTCTCCATTGCATAGGGAACTTGTAGACTTCTCATTTGAAAGGTTCTCTCTCTCCATCGAAAAAGAAAAACTGAATTCTGAAACACTTCAATTCAGCAACTCTCAGTTCTTTATGGTTGCTTGCAGGATTCAGTAACAATATTTGCTAAACCATGAGGCAAGTTTCCTACAGCAACTAAGATGCAGTGCAAATAAGATCGCACTGGGCAAAGTTTATTTTTAGTAAAGCTCTACAAAGCTCACATGTACACCTGTCAGTGACTGTGGCTTTAACAGTTTTTATCTGCTCATGGTTGACTCAGAGCCAGCCATGCTAATTTCATAGTAAAATCAGCTAGGACCATTATTTTCAAAGGTCTGTTTGCAACCCTAACACAGGATTCCTCTGAAGTTAGTTAATTTATTAATTTGTGTTTTTTCCTTAGATTTCTAGTCCAATTTATGCATATGGTAGAAGGTAACCTCTTATTTCCTAAGCATGTTGGATTCTTAGGATGTTTTGGACAATATGGACATAAACATGCATCAGCTTCTGTCTCTGTCTTTTGTTTGTATTTTGTCTAATGCAGAGTTTAAAAACATGTTCTTTTTCATACATTAAATGCTCTGAAATAGTGTAATTGCTTGAGGATGTTAGAAACAATAACCAGACAAAAAAGCAAAATGCTTTTATATGTTTTACTGTTGAACCACACGAACAAAGAAACCAATTAAAAATCAAAAATGATCACAACACAAAAATGTAATTAAATTTTCTTCCTTTATTTGTGTCTCCACCCAGGGTGTAAACACCCACTAAGGCATTCATTTATCTGTATCTCTATCTCTATCCTCACTATAACAATAATTAAACCCAGACTTAAAAATCTAACCCGAGAGTTTTTTAGAAGAAATCTCTGAGGGTTTTTTTCCCGTTTCTGTTTCTAATTATATGAATCTATGCAAACACTAGTAGTTTTATGGTGAAGGACAATGACTGGAGCAGTCTTCTTTAAAGGTATCTCTCAACAAGGTGTTCTACAGGTTATATAATGGAGTTACAGTTTTCAGGTTTTATTTTGTACCATCCATATACACATTTCACTTTACTTTTTACATAAAACAGAACTTTATCAAAGAGGACAAAAATAACTTATGATTGTATGAAAAGTAACTATAAAAAAATCACAAAATTATACATACTAGCAGAGCAAAAAGTGTAACTAATTATTTTGATTTTTTTTTCCATGACATGCAACAGGTATTTCTTTAGAGCAACTATCAGTCAGATACACAGTATGGCAAATCAAGATCGTAAGTGTATATGTAAGTGTGTATAAATATGTAGATTACTCTGCAAGGGTTAGAAAAAACATAATCCCACTTTCTCTCCTTACCAAAGTGCTTTGTGTAAAAAATATTACACAAGATGCTGCTTTCTGTACAGAATAAAGGGAATTTTTTTTCTTAAATATAAGCCCCCTCAGCTAATTTTAAATGGTAATTTTCTTTTGCTTTACCTGCTTCTAGAAAATATATATTAGAAAAGCCCAAACCAACAATACAAACCAACAACAAAATTCTATACAAAGAACAAAAAAGTGCTGTTTAAAAAAGTCTGCTATAAAATTACACAAGGAAAACAGGGAATAAACAGTTAAAACACAATTTTTATACTCATTTACACCTCTTCAAAGAAAGCTGAAAACAAAATACAATGTGACAGATTGACAGATGGTTTTAGCACTGCAATACTTCAGCACCTGGTATTATTAAACCATAATGCTTATATGCTTGTGTGTATATATACATAGAAAGGGAGATCCAAATAAACGCATATACTCATAAACTCCCACATGTACATATGCACTTTCAAACTATATTTTAAACTCCAGTGTAGATCCATTTCTAATGCAGATATAAATAGATCATCGAGTCTGAAAACAAGTGAATTGTATAAAAGAATGATTGTAAATAATTTCATTCTAATATTGTTTCATGTCCATAGTCTAAAATAACTTCATCTTCTAGATATGAATCCCTTTAGAAAGTTAACAATCCAGCAAGTAGAATAACAACATAAAAATCACTAAGGCACAAGTATTTGAAGATGACTCAGTAACTGGCATTACTTTATGTATTTTCCCAAGCGCTTTTTTCATTGTAACATGTGACAAACACAATTCCCTAATTAAATATCTAAAATACTTGAGATAAAATAATTCTTTTTTATACAATTGCCCTCAGTGATTAAGTTGATGCCCTGAAGTCACTCCTATTTCAAAGAGAATAATTAAATAATTGTGAAGAATCCTCTCTGTCTCTGAAAAAGAAGTAAACAAAGGCATACCTTTTTACAGACTGGTAGCCCACTCTCGTGTGCTTGATGTAACTATACCCTAAATCCTTCTTTTTAGGATTAAGTCTCATGGAAAGCTGTGAATTTATATATATTATATATGTGTGAAATAATGAATTAACGACTTGCAGAAGTTTCCTTTTTTAAATGTAACTGATGAAGCCCCAAATTATGAACGCCTTTTTTGAATTCTGTACCCCTGCTTTTCCTTTGGTCAGGAAGTTTCAAAATGTAAAGTCCCCCACTCTACTGAACAGCTTGTACATTCGGATACCAGAAAAATATTTCAAAAGGTTTAAAAGTCAGGGTAGTACAGATCTGAAGACAGCAACAATATTTCAGTTTTGTGCACAGCAACAGACAAATTCTGGACAACCGCGTGGTTAAAAGAACCTTGAAGGATATATATGTACAAAGTATGTATGTACACATGTATGTACAAGCATACGTGCACACTGAGCCTGATTCTGCTCTTGCTGACTTTGGTGGGACAAAACACAGTCCCACACATTTGAAATTGAAGTGTTCAGTGTGACTAATTATTCCTGCTGAATCAAGTTATGCTTGTGCAGTGAATGCATAATGGGCTTTAAGATAGCACAAAATTAAAGCTTAATTAAAAAGTGAAACTTGTGGTCAATGCACTGGGCCAGATCATACACTAATGCAAAAGGACTGTGCATGTATAGCTGTAAGGGATGCTTGATGTCATTTACTGAATGCAAACCACATATTGTAACATGTGGACCTATTATTGCAAGCTGGAGCAGGGGGACACCTTCACCTGTGATGCGAGCAGAATAAAAGGGGGAAGAACTTAGCACAGAATTATCTGTATTTTAGTCACACTACTTCTTATTGTACTTCATTTATGTGCATGGTTTATCCATATATTCTACACATTAATTGGATGAAAATCTCTCCATTAAACATTTAAGCACATATGCCTGCACATAAGAATATACTTCATGAATAAAAACCTCAAAAGACTGCCAGTGTTTATAAACATCTGGCATAAATTCACCTATTCAACATAATAGCAAATTATGAATTTGAGCCAAATGCACTGAAAAACTCAAAAAATTTTCTCAGAAAAAAAGAGAGTTTGTATAAACATTTTTTTTTATGTTCATCTTTCCAGAAGAGTGATTTCAGAAGTATAGTTGTGGTCTAGCCTGTAAGAACGAACTGAATTTCTGTCCTTACTATATCAGATCATGAGAACGTTAAGATGCACACCACACAGTTAAGAAGTCCACAAAATGGATGAACAGGGATTAATCACCTAAAAACTCAGTTCTGCATAATGTAAGAGTTGTTTCCAAGGTATACAGAATCACAGTGATGGCATGTCTTCACTGCAAAATACTGTATTTAACTCATAATTTTGTACCTTCCATGAAGGGCAACCACATTTGCTTTCATCCTAGACTAAATTCAAGGACTATAGCCTGACACTGAGTAGAAAAATCAAAACCACCAAACCAGTTTCAGCTTTACCTCTGAGTAACCACAGGGAACACAGCACACTTAAGAGTAGTTCTTTCTGAAAATGTGTTATAGAAAATATTAGGGCAATAAAAAATTTAATTGAATCAATACAAATTGTTTTTTTAAAAAAATCTGTGGAATTTAAGGAAGAATCTTTCCTATGCAGTATCTTAAACCTCCCTATAGAATACTATAGCATGTACAGCAATAAAGCTCCACAATATAATTAAAAAGCAACAGAAAGTTAAAATGTACTTATTCTTATCTGGCATATGTGTTAAATAGAGACAAAGTCTATGTAAATTCTCATGTGTTTAACCCTTCTTATTCATGCTTAAAGCATTGGGTTGGAATGAACATTGGAAAAATAGCAATAGCCATATTGTATGGCTTAAAATACAGAGGGAAGGAAGAGACACATAACTCGAGGCCTGTAAGAAATCCAGTACCAAGGATCTTTGACTCCAAAAAGAAGCCACACCAACACCTCCAATGGGGAGTGAGTGCCAACTTATATGTCTAATTTCTCTCCCTTCTGGATACTGGTGTCTGTTTAACTTCGGAAACATCACATGCAAAAAGGTTGTGCAAAGGTTGTGTATGCCTTTGAAATGGTTTGTAGTATGCTCTAGTTTTACTTCTTTTCCTCTTTTGAAAAACGAATTTTCTAAAGCTTTGTTCTTCAGTAAGTGCACCCATTCAGCTTGAAAGGATTGCAGCTAACAAGCAGTTTTCTTATTTGGTCTCTGAATTCCCTTTGAGAAATTACAAAGAAGAAATAATAAAAAAATAGAGTTGCTGTGCCACAGATGAGAAGAAAAGAAACAATTGCTAAGGTTTTGGCAAAGCTTGCTTTCTCCAAACATTCCCCTTCTCAGTTGGAGCTTGATTAAATGAAGAATGCTCAGTGATTGCTTTTTTCCTCTCCATTATGTATGTATATCCAGTCATATCCCCATACATACGTGGCAGTTTCATGGAGAGAAACATTTTGTGGAGAAATACAAGAAGGGCAAGATGAAATGGAATTAAGTTCTTGTAACTAGATTTATATTACTTTAGCCTTCAGTGTACACGGAAGAAAGCTGGCTAGAACGACGATCCACTGCATTTACTTGTAGGAAACTGCTGTCCTCTGGCATGCTGCAAGCTGAATCACCAAAGATACCTATGGACCCTGCTGGAAAGTCATACACTAGGGAAAAAAACCAAAAACCAGTTAATTAACTAGGAAAGCTATATCATGGAATATGTCCTAATACATATACATAGATCTGGAAATGGCTTTAAATCAAATACAGAAACAAAACAAACAAGCCAACATATGTTTGAAATTAATTACATAACTTACTGCTTACCAATGGAAGAATTTTCAGTTCTGTCAGAATAGAGTCTGACGTACAGCAGATTTCATCACAACTAACATTTCTCCATATAATGGGCATTAAAATTGTGATAATTTTAAAAATAAACTTCATGCTTACTTAACAAATTTCATCATACTGAACTCATGATAAAAGACAATAAAATATGGTAGAACAAACTGCTGTAAAGCACACCCTGGCACAGAAATTACTTCCTTCTACAAGCAATGGTAGTAAACACAAGAGTAACTGTGCATAAAAACTGCCATCTTTTGGATAACAGGTTTATATACCGTGAGATGCCTCTTTGAAATTACACGTCCATTGGCTTTGCAACGCACTGCTGAAGGACTGAGGATGTAAAAGGGATTTCAAAGAACAATAAATGTTAAGTGAATTCATCCTGTGTGGAAGGACAGTAAAAGACTTGGTGCTTAGCTGTGCTTAGGCCTTAAGATTAGGCTCATCGTCTTGTACTGATCCTTGCACAGAGGGAACTTTCTCCTTTCCAGAGCAGCATACAAGCCCCTGAGGTGCTTTTCATCCGGGCAGAGACTAAGTTGAGTGCACACAGACAAGCACACACTCAGGCAGCTCTTGTCATGGAAATGTGAAAAAATTAAATTCAAGACTGATAAAACCCAAACATACGCAAAGCAAAATCAGTGGTTTGAATCATCTCAGGTCCCTGCCACAACACATGCAGTGAAGTGGAGTGGCTAAACAAGTAGCACACGAGGCTCAATGGACTGCATTTCAAAGCAAATACTCAAGCTAGAGAGTGTCTGACCCCCACAGGTTAGAACCTTGAGAAGCCCTCAACAGAGTACAGTTTACACACAAGCCAGTTGTTGCTGTCACCTATGGTGACTGCCTGCCTCCCAATGCCAACCACTCCACAAAGGTCTGAAAAACATCTCCTCTTTTTGAGTCAAAGAGTCAAGTCTGTCATAAGACGTCCCAGTCACATACACTCAGCTCAAGCAGATCAACGTTCACAAACTGTACACAATCATCCACGAAGTCACCAACTGTCATTTACCTGTGATACCAGAATGACCTGAAAAAGTTCGATGGAAAAGGCCAAGCCCTGCCTGGCCCGCTGATGTGGGAGCTAAGCAGTCTTCAAAAGGAGGAACCATATTGCAAGAAACACCATGTTGTACGTTCTTCTGAGCGTCAGCAGGATGTGGAGGGCAGAAAGTCTGAAGCTGCCCATAAAAACCTAGAACAAGAAGAAAAAGGCCATCAGTAAAACACCTGGACAGAGATCCAAAGGATAGCATGTGGAACTGCAGCTGAGAGAATGATAAAAACCTTAACTGCCATAACACCAGGTCTTCAATAATTTTACACAAATAAAGTAGTGTTGATATGAAACTCCCTAAAACTTCCTCCATTTGCTACTGATTTCAAACACAATCTGCTTCATCTTCTGATATCCTGATTCCAAGCATGACCTGTGAGAGGCACTGACTGTCTAGAAGCTGAAATTTTTCAGGAAATTTCTCTCTGTACTCTGCAATCCTGCTGTCTGAACTGGTTCTCTCCAGAGATCACAGTGGGCATCTGCCTGAAAAATCTAAGAAAATGCCTAATTCAAAATAAAGAAAGATTACCCAAGCAAAGTCTGAGTAACACCTGAGAGTCTGTCACTGATGCCAAGACAACTGGCTGATAGTGGGGACATACGCAGAGACTCTGAAGGGCTGCTAGATGATGATGGGGCCTGCTCTTTGCACGTACAGGGTCAGAGTCTAACCCACTAATCAGCAGCGATAAGTCCACAGGGAAGAGAACCAAGACCACAGTGTCACATGGCAGAAAAATCCCCACCAGGGTTTTTTTCAAAAAGCTTTTTGTTCCTGAAGTGATATTTCAGAGAGGCATATAAGCACTGAGCAAATTCACACTGAAGTCCATGCCAAAGTATGTACTTATATAACAAAAATCACTCTTCTTTGTAGGAGAGGGACACATATACAGTCTAAGGAGGCACAGACAGATATTCTGCAGTAGGTTGGTCAAAAGATTTTCTCATGGAAGCAAGGTCTTTTCTCCTGCCTAAAGAACTGCTGTCTAAGTCTAAGCTTTGGAGATTTTGTTCAGTCTAAAGGAAGACTTTTATATGTAGAAGATCACTGGGATGCATTTATTACTGTTTTCTATACTATAGTCTTAAGAGTAAATGTCAGAAATAAAACCACAAATCAGTATTAGAATATCTGTATTCTTTTCTTTTAAGAAAAGCTGTGAATCAAGCTCCTCTCTCCCAGTGCTGTGTCTCCTTGTTCTCACCACTCTCTTTCTCTGCATAAAGGAAGAACACAGATGGTAACACCATCAAGGTGTTACATAGAAGTTGTAGGTCTTGACAGTCCAAAAATAGGCCCAGGAACAATAGCGTCTCTGAAGATTTTATTAGCAAACAACTTACTGCCTAAAGGCTGGTGTGCTATTCTCTTGATAAAGAAAATGTTGAGGTAAGTCATACCTAAAAGCCGCTGTCAGAAAAACAACCCCTTAACTCTGAAAGCGTTTTAAGGAATTTCCTATGACATTACTGTCATCAGAAAAAGCTGTTGTGTAGAGCTGAATCCTCTAGCCAGTCTATTTAATCAATATCCATATTACCAAGTCATTCCAGATGAATTTCCTTCTGGCATAGAAAGATCAATAAGCAATAAAACATTCCCTAAACCCTTAATACATCAACATCAGGGGAAAAAGAAGGAAAAGGGGGGGAAAGAGGGCTTGGAAAACACTTTATAATGCATTTTTTATATAAAAGAGAAGAGAAAAGAGAGGAGAAAGGAGAGAGGAGAGAGGAGAGAGAGGAGAGAAGCCCAAAGAAAAACAACAAGTAGAAGCATGGCTCCTCTTCCACAGCAGGCAAAATATGCAGACTCTGTTTCTGTGAGGCTCTGTGCTCACTCCCAGAGAGGCTGAACACTCACATATTTCATTGTCTTTTGCAAGGGTTGCCCTAGTTGTGAGATGATGGTTTCAATCCTTTTTTCTTTTCTTTTAAAGTTTAACTACAACAAAACCGAGTCAGACTATTGGGAATTTACAAGCCATCAATCCTTAAATACTGCGTCTTGATATTTAAGAATCAACTGTAGTAAAATAATAGAAAATTAAAGAAAAAACAATAGCCATCCAAAACTTAATTTTGAAGCTACATTAGCTACATGAAGGTATTGACAGGTTTTGCCTTCTTTAAACATGTTTTCAAAATAAACTTTTTTCTAAACCAGCAATAAGATGCAATGTGCAAGTTTATTGTTGAGTCAAGACTAGTTACCAGAAACAACCATTTCAATCTATATGTGAGTGGTCTGAACTAGCTGGCAAGATCCTTCAAGACACATGCTGAAGTGTCCTTTCATATCACTCTGTGCTCATTCTCTATTTATGCCTCTCACAGCATCCTGTTACCAGTGTAGAACAATCTGCCAGTAACTTTGACTATTGCAAGCTCAAATCTGGAAGAAAAACTACCGACCTTGGCGTTGAGCTATTGTTGATTCACATTCTCTCTATTTGGTCATTTCCTGCTTAAATAAAAAATATTGTCTGGCAAAGATTTGACCCAGCAGTACATTAAACTCTAAACAGCAGAAAGCACCTGGAAGTGCAGAAAACACTTATATTCGCTAGAAAATTCCCTAAAAATTTTTTATTATGTAAGGAGAGCACGGAAAAGTAATGCAACTTTCCTAGATACATGTTGTTTTCATAATTCAGTGTCAATTACTCATCTTATAAAACAGAGAGCTATAAACAAGAAAAAAAGCATATGTAGTTCTCCTCCCCTCAGTTATATAGCACTATTCTAAATGTTTTTGTGTGCATCTACAGTGCATCAAGTGGAAGGGCAGAGGTCTTAGAACTGTAGCCCAACATGAAAGCAAAATCTCCTAACTTGGTGTCAGGAGTTCTTTCCTTTATTCACACAGTGCCATGCCCAAGATAATCTCCAATACAGCTCAATGTAGGATAACATGAAATCACATGCAATTCAGGCCCTGGACCCTGATCATATCTAGCCCATCATTCAAAATTACCTGCTAGAGAACTACCTGTAGTATCAGTTTTCTGTGTTTTCATGCAACACTGGAAAAATTAAAAAAAAGGCAAACAGTTTGGCTAATAAAGTTCCAGCAGCTGAACATTTCTTCTCAGGACTGCAACTCTGGATTGTATAAGTTGGTCTCTTATTAGACTGTTTAAAACACACACATGTACAGGGTTATGTCAATTGTGTTTCTTTGAATCAGTTACAATGCAGCCAAGATCCATGATGTCAAGATACAGAGCAAACAGTTGTTCTTCTGACATGATGGCATTATTTCCTTAGGAAAGTGAAATAGAATTGCCTCTAAAAGCAAGAAGCTCTTGTTCTTTATCATACAAAGAGCTTTGTCCTGACAAGTGTTGAATATCTGAAAAGACCAGGTGGAGAGCCCATCTCAAATTCACACCTGAAATTGTGGTCCATATAAGTTTGGGATAGAGTCTCTCTCCCATTGAACTGATGTGGACAAAGATTTCCTTGCAGATACGTAATGAATGACTGCCACAGTTATCATTTCCATAAGGTAGGAAGTTTCTCATGGATATCCATTCCCTCCTCAGTCATCTCTCTGCCTGGCACAACAAAGAGAGAGTATTTTCTCAAGAAAATCATTAAAACTGCCATTAAGAAATATACATCATGAGTGAGAAGCCATTACTGCTACGGTATGTAAAAATGCCAGCTGTCTTTGGCCTGAAATACTTCAAAATAGTGTTCCTCTGCAGTATATTTCTACATGTTCACCAGGTGAACTACACAATACCAAGTAATCATTTGGTACCATCCGGTTACTAGGAAAAAAAGGAAAAGAAAGAGTAATAGAGAGATATGAGTCACATACTCTACTAAAAGACTGATTTGCAAATGTGAAAAGCTGTTTCTGTTTATTGAAATCTGATTTTTTGTAATTCAAAGATAACTGTTACTAGTAGAGCTATCTGTATAGACACACTAGTGTAACTAACTCATATCAGCTAACAATTTTTTTTAAATAAATGGCAACTTTTTTTTAATTAATACTTTGTATGATTTTGAAATTTTTTTCCATTATTCAGCCAGCTCTGAAAATCAGTCTGAAGAGAAAGCTATAACCCCATACTAAGATGGATAACAATTAGCTAAGGTAACAATTTTAAGGAAGTCTGAAGGCAGAGCCCTGAAGGCTACTTCCCAGAGTCGTTCATAAGCAAAGGTGCCTTAAAAATATCAGTGCCGGCCTCTGAAGCACCTAATTCGAAGCCCAGCAACAGTGACAAACAACTAATGTTAGCAATGAAGATTCTTCCTTCTTACCCTGGATGTGGAGGGTATTTGGTTGAAAAGAAGGGCTTTCTGCTGGCTGGTATGTCTTTAGAGGCAATCCTGCAGGCTGTTGAAGCTGGGAAGGTTGTGGAGTCTGTCTCTGCAACATGGGATGTGGAACAGACATTCTCTGGTGGCTGATGAGGTGAGGAGAAGGAGCTGGAGCAACAAACCTACGAGTTCAAAACCACAAAACTGTAAAATCTCCAATACATAAGAGCTAAAGATTGTTTCTACTTTATTTAGTTCACTATCATATTTAGCTATTTGCATAGATACAGACAATGTAAGAGTGTGCAGCCCAAATAAGAGATATTTTTATATCGTGACATATCATTAGATTTGACAATTGTGAAATTAACAGGCTAAATTGACCCTTATTATGGGAAACTCTTTTTAATCCACTCCTTCCGTGTCTAAGTCTTAATGGGAGGAGATGCCTCATGGTGGACCTAATTTCTTAGGCATTGCCAGCTGTTCATTTTAAGGCTTTGTATCAATTTTTTCTATCAATAAGTAGCTGTCCTTCCTGAAGGACAATCTGAAGGCAATATAATGTAAATAGAGACAAGTGTTAAATTGCTTCCAGAGTCTGACCAGATCAAAATGTTGATCTGGACTCAAAGTATAAACTTAAAAGCCTCACAGAGCAGGAGAACTCTTGTTCTTGGTGGAGCTGCCACATAGGTTCAGTGGTATGTTTTGCACAGCTCTGTCACTACTGGCACTACAAGGATACACACTACTTTTGAAGGTTTTAAGCAAAAGTTTTACAGACTTTACTTTTTTCATGGGCATTTTTTCTACATTTCCTTAAAACTGCATACCTCAAAGTACACTACAGGTAGGTGCTATGATAATTTTTGTGGACAGAAACCCATCCACTAGACCAATGGGTTCTGATTAGTTAATGAAAGCTCAGCCTGGGCTCACAAATGGCTCTGGGCCACTTTCTCATGCACGAAAGGAGAGATGGAAAGGCCAACAAAAAAGAGCCAGGATATTTCTGCAAGAGGGTGAGTGGAAACTGATGCAGTATTCCTGTCACAGATCAGCCTCTCCATTGCTAAAAGCAAGCTGCAAGGCTGCTGAGAGAGTATCCATCTATCCTTTCCTGTGTGCTAAGTAGCTGCTGCTAGAAGGGATTAGAGCTTGCAGTTAACAGTCTAACAATATCCTAAAATGTGGATCTGGTCCTTGTTGTCCTGAGACTAAACCTCAATACACAATATGACTTCAAGCTAGCAAAAAAGTATGATTTTCCTGAAAAAATATAAGGAAGCTTTTATTACATCCTGAATACAAGAGGAAGTGCAACTGCAGTAGTAGCACTACAAACCATCTCTGGACAGGGTCATTGTACAGGTTATAACTGCATTTAAATCCAAGTCACCTGAGATCTTTCATGTTGCAGCTCAGAATCTGCATCTGCCACACATTATCTGCTTCATTTCGACTTCATTTGAAACCTATTTACTGGTAGTCCATAATCTGTATTTGGAGTGTACCAAGCATCAAGATGAACTGTGGATGATTTTCTACCTACTCAGTTTTCTTTGAGAATCACATTTCTATGCATATTAGATGGCATTTGGATGGTCTTGGTGCTGAGGTGATATTAACTTCATGAACACATCTTCAGATATGCTACATAGATGGAGGAGATAAATATGTCACTACTGAATTCGAGTCTTTAATGTGTCAAGTATTTCATTGTTCCAGATAACTGATGCAGAGTAGACTTAAAGACATACTAAGGAGGAAGGGAACAAAGCATGCATGTGTTTCACCATCATACTAGAGAATAACTTTTTTAAAAAGAGAAATCAGTAGTGATATTGTGATAAAAAGACCAGAGACTTTTAAAAAGTGCTGCAACTACCTGGTTATATGTCTCCTGAGTAATGACTATAGTTAGTCTTTCGTATAGCACTCAGAGAGAAAGACTGTTAGTTGCTGCTATAGATGAAAAGCAATGCACAGACACTCTTTAATACTATTAATTATTTTAAAAATCATGGTATATAATCCTCTGTGTTTTCAAAATTATTTTGTGAAAATTAATATCTGAAAAATGGTTTTAACCAGCACCCACCCACAGGGAAAAAATCCTTTTCAAAACTCAAAGGGAAAAGCACAGTTTAAGAGACTTCACATTTGATTTAACATTCAAAAAAACCCTCCCAGTAATAATGAATTATATTGTATAGCCAGACAGGGCTCCATTTTAATAGACATAGTGGTCTCTATAATGATCTATATATCAATTCATGAATCCCAGGCTTACTCATATGCATGTCCATAGTTATCTACCTTTTCTTTTCTTCTGCTTAACAAAAGAAAAACTTGTATTTGTCTCAGTTCAGTATGTTACTGGGGGAACTGCAAATTTAATTCTGTTCCTGAGACAATCAGGTCCAGCTTGTAACCACTTGGAAATTGCTATCAAGAACTATGGCCAAGCCTAGGAGTCAATGCACTCAGGAACCAGCCATATTTACAGAAAGTTGCCCTTTCCCGTGCTTGATGGGTACGAAATCAGAGCAGGAATATTTCTGGAGCCATTAAGAAGCCTCTTCCTTTCCAATAGTAGCTAGGAAAAGGTGTCCTCCTGGGGAGTTACTAGATTTAGTAGTAAGCAAGATAGATGACAAAGTTACCAAAGCTTACCTCTTTTGATGAGATTAGTTAAAATGACACATATAAAGGTGACTTTTCAATGACCAGTACTCCTTGTGGATACATGAAAAAAAAAAAGATTTTACTACATCATTTTTTTTACTGGATCTGGCCCAATGATACCTCTACTCTTTAGCATTAGTCACTTATATGTGCCATTTGCTCACTAAAAAAAAAATTTGATAGTCTTAGCAGACAATCCTCTGAGGTGTCCCATGCCTGGAAAGACGTTACTGTACTTATTTCAAAACCACACTGTTAAGGTCTTTAACCAAAGACTTTCTTTGAAGCAGCCCCTTGTATGCCACATATAAAGGACTTAATAACATCTGAAGGTTGGATGCCTCAGCTCCTTAGTTAGAACTATTCAGAGGCTTTTGTTTCTGGAAGTCTGGCTTGGAGCTAGTTGCAGAACTTATTACAGCATTACAGTGCTGCTAAACTGAATGGTTCAGCCCTAAGATCTTCTTTTCAGCCTTACACAGTCTCTAGAAATTCCTCTGAAGCAGGATGCCTCACACTTTAGGGACACACTGCTAGCCCTGGTAAAAATCATCTGGAACACCAAGTCCCTGAAAAATTTTGTTCGGGTCTCACATCAGTAAACCAGTTACTTCTTGCTCAAAAGAAAGATGCATATATTGGACAATTCAATAAATAACAGAAAAATAATGTAAAAATAATAATTTCAAGCATTTAGCACTGTCAACTTTGGGGCACTGAGCTGCACGTTAACTATGCCATATAAACCCACAGTTTTTTATTTGAGTTTTAATGAGATTTCAGCTTTCTTGTATGCTTATGTCTTCTTATATTACAAAAATGAATGAAAAGGAAGTGAAGTACATGTTCTCTTCTTCTTCATTTGATAAATGAAGTTACTTCTTGGATCCAAACTCTCTGACTTGCATTCTGTGTACACAGAGTTTTGTACACATAATGAATGCATATATGTGTCCCGCATTTCGTTCACTTTCTCACATTAATAAGGCTTAATCAAGTCTAGGAGAGAAAGACACAAATGAAACCCCCCAATTATTTCTCTATCCCATGGTACCCAGGGAGGTAGGGAAAGTGTGTATCTCCTTCCACTTCTGTCCAAAAAGCAGCACATGATTGACCCCCAGGGTCATCAAAGCACCAGGCCAGTTTGGATTGGCTTCAGTCCAACAAATACAGCCTTCTGCCAGGGCAAGTGCTGGTCAGCCAGTCCTAGCTCTGGAATGACCCCAGGCATGCCACAGTATCAGGAACCACACAGCGGAATAGTCTGAAGTTGGAAGCACGGAAGAATAGTTTGAGTTGGAAGGGACCTTCAAAGGTCACCTAGTCCAACTCCAACTAGCATGTGAGGGAACAAATCCCTTACTTGCCCCCTTAAATCCTGCAGTCCTATCAACAAAGAAATGGGGATAAACAGAGTGATTTACACCTTTCAAAGACACTATCTCCTGCACTTTCTATAGGGAAGGTTTGTTCAGTTCACATTTTCACAGCTGTTGTTACACTCATGAAGCAGTGCAAATGACAACCTACTCACAGGGCCCCTAGGAGAGTGTACTGTATTAGATTCAAGATGCAGGTTCTGAATTTGTATTTCTTTTAAGCACTTCCCTTAATTTGTACTATATATTCTGAAACCAAACTAACACTGCTGTAATACTTTTTTCTTTTGTTAATTTAAATTGCCAATTGTCACACTACCTAAATGAAGACAGTGGCACCTTTTTTCTTAATCCAAAGTAATTTCACATATGGGAGTTCGCCTTTTTTTAGAGAGTGTGTATACAGTTAGTACATGAGACAGGAGTGGATTGTCCTAGTTTTTAATTGTTCGTAGAGTACTGTATTATCTTGAGGTCTGTAATGCATTCAATGAATTGAATCAATTGTCACACTCTAAATGCGTCTGCAATGGTTCTACACCAGTAGAACCTCAGAAATGGGCTAATGACAAGATCACTGTCTTTCATAATGACATTTATACCTGTTATAATAAAATATTGATCTGTCCCTGCCCGTCACCTTGTGCTCTGGCAGTTGTTGGGTACAGATGTTGGACAGGTCATGCACTGGAGAGGAAACTATACTGGGAAAGAAAAGCCTCTGTGTCAGGAAACAGAGCATGGGCAGCCTCAGAGGGTCTGCACGGAGGTTAAGAGCCAGGGCAAGGGAAAAAGACCAGGACCATCTGGCCAGGAGTGGAGAGGAAGGACTGAACTAGTAGCTGAGCTCCAGTGATCATGAGGCAGCAAGTTTTATGTCTTACTGATGTACAAAAAGCTCAACAACCTCCAGCCACTCCCAAACTGGCTGAATTCATGTGAAGTCTGAAATAAAAAAGTACTTTCACCTGCTGTCAACTCCCTGAGCCATCATGTTCTTCCACCTTCCTGACACAAGGCAGAGTGAGTACTGCTTTCATCCAAAAAAATTATGCTCATTTACTGGTAATTGAAATCTAGTGAATGTTTTTTTCAGGTTTATAATTAGAGACTGTACTCTTCAAATTACTGGCATTTCTGTCACTCGAGGAAATTAAAGACTTTGAAATACAGTAATGAAATACAGCAATTTATCATTTAGAGAACTGAAAAATAGAGATATTTACAAAATAATGTTTAAGTATCCATAAACATATAGGTAGAATTCAGTATTGTGTGTGATGTTGTTATCTTCCTGACTTTTCCACTGAAAACTTATTTGCTTAGGCCTCTTCAATCTTATCATCTGCTATACTTCTGGTTCAATGAACTACAGATTTCCACATCTGTAATACCATACACTACCTAGATAATTGGCAAGATTGTTGAAAATAATGTAGGGGATGTCTAAACACGAAATCAAAACACTTCCAAGCAATCTGCTTTTATACCACTGCAATATCTAAAATCATGGAAACAGCAATACCTGAGCAGCATATAATAAAACATACACAACTAGAGTAAAATAAATCCTGGCTATAAATCAAACTCTCAGACTAGTGAAATAAAAATTCACTCATTATTTATTTGTCTTAATAAAATGCCAATTAAAAAAAAAAGTCAAATTCCTGAAGGAATACTTATATTGAGAGAATATTGACAGAATATGACTTTCCTCCCACAAGTAAACAGAAACATGGGGTCCCCATTCTGTAAGGTATGGTTGGGGTCCTCTGAGATTCAGTGTCCCAGTAAGTATCACTTTCCTTGCTTGGGCCATCTGTGGCGATGCAGAGGGGACTGGAGGAAGTCTCTGAAATGGAGATGGATGGAAAGCCTCCCTGCCCAGGCTAGAATAACATCGTCCCTTTTACCTCTCCTTCCCTGATAAACCCACACCCACAGCAATTGTTAGGTGGGGCTGCCACCAGTGACTCTGTACACCGACAATTCAGTTTCCACCCCTCCTGGAAGCTCTGAAGGCAGTCCTGCCTCAGGCTCAGTATTGGAAAAACTGGGACTGGTCTTACCTCTCTGAGACCGCAGCTGAGAGAAGAGGTATCTGGGGGGGAGCATGGAGAGGACTACCCTGTGCATTATGTCCTGGGGAGTGGTGGCTGCTGGGGTGGGACAAGGACACTGCCCCAGTTGTAGTAGCACTTTGACTGGTCTGTGTGCTGGAGATCAGGGCTGCTGAAAGTAAAAGGAGAGAAATAACCCTCATCATGCAGGCAATAATACTGATAACTGAGCAAACACCAACAGGTAAGAGCTCCTGTAAAGCTGCAGTGACAATTCTTAGCAACTAACTCTTTTTTTCTCAAGCGTTGTTTTCTGTTCAAAGGGAAGAAGAAAAACCCACATGAAAATAATATTCTTTTCTGCTTCCAAATGACACTTTCATACACTCAGGCATGACATAATTGTGTTCCCAGTCTTGGAATTTTCATCTAACTACGGCTGCAAGTCTTCTATACATTCCTGTTGCAGAAGAGGTGTCAAATACTTCCTAAAATATGTATTTTTAGAACTGGTAAGCAGAAAGCACGGTTTCCGAAAATGTGAAATACTTTCTACATTTTCCTGTCAGCTGTAAAAATCCTAAATTTCTTGAAAAGTAATATCGCTGTTATTGCCCCAGACTCCTCAGTATTACATACAAAAATTTTAAACCATCATTAACAGTTTAATAATTTTCTATAAGGTTCTCTTGCACACTTTCTAATAAAGAAAGTTTCTAGATGACTAAACAAAAAGCAATACAGGACTTTGTTCAAATGTCCTAGGTAGTTGATCCCTACTTCTTTAACCTTGTTTTCTGAAGTTGTTTAAATCAGAAAAATTTAAATCTCTGTATATTTGAAAATCCAGTTACCCAACTATTTTTACTGACATCTGTGTCAGGTAGCTTATGCTGAATGGCAGCCAAATACATGATCTTGAATATTTTATGAACCCAGAGAACCAATTAGATATGCTCTCTACAAGATAAAAATGATCTCTCACTGTTTGGCTGTTGTATCTTCCAGTCTCTTTCAAAAAAAGTATTGTTTTGGCTTAGTTTACAGAATAAAATTCTGCTATAAAAATTACATTATGTTAGTGAATATATTGGAGCTAATGATTCAAATTTATTGACAAAATCCTAGAATTTTAACCAGTTCCCCAGAGGGTGATGTCACTGGTAAAACATCTTTCTAGGCTAAAATATCTGCATACATGCTACAATTCTAGCATAAGAAACACTACTTTAGGAGTAGCCCCACTACACATCAGTCTTCAAGAAAATTATTTTGTAGGTCACAATTTTGAATTTTGCTACACAAGATCAAAAGGGCAAAAAGTTCACCTCATTGTCCATCCACCTGAGCCTATTTCTGGAAAGACTCTATTAGTCCTTACAAGCCTGCCTTTGTGACACACTGGTTATTCACCAGGCTAAGGCAGAGTTAAGGAAAGGCTCAGGAGCCTATGCTGTAGCTTCATTAATGAGCAGTCCCGGACACATTTCAGCTGGTGGAAATGACAGATGGTGTAAGATGACACACAGGAAACCACTTTGTGAGTAAAAACACCAGCAGAGGTAATGCCAAAGTTTAGGTCATGAGAAGTTGTCATGAGCCACAGTTGCAGGCAAAGCTGGTGGAGTGGAGGCTGACCTTGGCACTAGCCTCTACTGTTTGCTACTTTGTATACGGACCAGACCGTCGTAATCACAACTCAAGTGACAACAGACATCTGACAGTAGAACTCTAACTGAGGTACAGAGGATGCAGATCCCATAGGAGATGAGACAAGGCTTCAGCCAGCAGAGTAACTCACAAAGAGTGAGCTGAGGAAGAACCTCCCCACTAAGACAGGAGAATGTGTTTTTGCCGCTTTTGTTCATGCACCCCAAAAGCCACTTTCTTCATGCCCGTCTCTCACGGGAGCATCAAGACAAATGCAGAGGGAAAAACAGAGGAATGAACTTTCAAATTTCTTATTTTATGCTTACATGCAGCACAGAAGAAAATACTGAAAAATCAAATATGCATTCTGACAGAATAAGCAGAGAGAATATTTAACGTATCAGTACACCACAAAGGAACACCCTGACTGTTAAAATAAAACCAGAGACTACTTAAATTATTTCTTGCAAAAATAGGGTAACTTGCATTTTATTATGAGAAAAACTTATTAAACTGTGTAAGAATATACAATGACTTAGTTTCACAGTACTGTAATTATATCTTTAGATCACATCCCAGCCTTTTAAGGTATTTTCTTCTCTTTCAGTGGACTGCAGTTTCTAAAGTTTTGTCTCATTATGATGAAAGGAACTATAAATGGTGCAAATGGCTGTGTTGCTTACACACTAATACATCAGTTCTCTTTACAATGTGAACCCAAACATTGCATGGATTTTTGGAGAACCATTAAGATGTCTCAAAATGGAAATTATAAACTCAGAAGTAAAGCTGGTGAATAAAAGGACAAGTCTGAGGGGAAATAAACTATCCTCCTTAAACTAAGATAGATAATAATATTAACACTATTCAACTCCCTGTAGTGTGTGTATGGTCCTATCTGGGACTACATCACATTCACCAGGAGTTCTAGATACTTATACAATACTTAAATTCACCCCAAAGGGTGACAACAGAGATTCTCTTTGTTGTTGGTAACCCTACATCACTGCCTCTTTTGCATCCATTTCTTATGCATCAAATACAATTTCGTTTTTCATGGGTAGGACCATTCATGTGTCAGTTCTTCCTTATAATTCCTTTTGATTTTTCTTACAGTAATGAGCTGTAGCTACAGACTGCCTTTTTTCTCAGAGATCTCTTAGGGAGCTCACTCACTGGGACAATTCCTTTAACAAAATTCTTTTATTTTTCCTGTACGTGTCCTTTATCCTTTACCTGCCTGTTGTACCTACCTAACATTATCTTAGATACATACTCCATAGAGATTGGATGTTTTCTTATTATGTGCACAGAGCACCTAGCTTAGTACTGTTACAGTGGGGGAAAAAAACCACAAAGAAAAGTATTACTTAAGCAAAGCACAACTTAAATCATAGGCATAAAATTAGTTAGGTCAAAGTTTCACAACCCAGCATAAGACATTATTTAAAAAACAGTCAGAATTCAAGTAAGTTCTGTAACTTTACAGATGCAACTTTTAAATTCCAACTTGCAAAGAAAGTCATGCACTTGCCAAGCTTAAGTAATATCATTTGCTTTCTCTTGAGTAGAGCTGAGTATGACATTCAGTAACTATTCATATATGAATTACACATTCTGGTTTACGCTTAAATATGAAATGGTCAAGTTTTAACCAAACAGCACAGTAAAAGTATTTTTTTGTATTGCATTACTTACGATTCTTTCAGCTTTACGGATTTTAGATTGCACTACAAACAGTAAGTTCATATGATTACACAGTAGAAAAAACTATCATCCATATGTTCTTATTATGAATTAATTGCTCACATCTTCATTCTGTGAACTGAATAAGCCCAGAAGCCTATGTATTTTTGAAAATTAAAACCCAGATGGTATCACTATACTTAGCCTTAGAAGAGTCTCTATGCTTGCTTTAGGATCTTTAAATACAATTTTGTGTTAATTTTAAGCAAAGGATCTGTCATGCTACATCACTGTATTAGTAAGATTATACCTTAGTATAATCAGATTTCTTATATTAAGACTACAAGATAAGAAAAAATATTTATGGAGAGTTAACTCTAAGTAATAGATAAGTAATCAAAAATATTATTGTTATATTTCATTTAAATGTACCTGTGTTTGTAGATTCTGTACTTTAAGAGTACTGAAACTGTACAGTTGTCACTACAGGCATTGTATTATGTAAGTAAAAATGGACTTGCTTCCAAATGTCTACTTTTGACATTTCTTACATATTTCTAATAGTTTGCTTTCAAACATTTATTTTGTAGACTTCTTCAGAAAGGAAAAGAAACCTCATACCTTTGCCTTAAATGTACATCAATGATAAGCAAAGTCACCTTCAAGTCAGAAAAGTTTGATTTGACATCACTGGAAGAATGGAAATCTGTTCCTGTTTCCACTTGAAAAGTAGCACAGACACATTTCAGACAATATGCTGTCTCAAACAGCATTCAGTAAAAGTTACATATCTTATTTTTCAGAAATCTCTAAGTTTTTTGTTATATTTTGTTATATACAAAAAAAATTGTTTTCAGAGAATTTTGAAGGGTAGCTTCTGTAAGGCAGGACACTTAAGCTTTTGTATATTTTACTTTCCCCTCCTTAGGTCATTAATAATTTTCATGTTGCCATTTCAATAAAATAATTCCCTGCCTGATGTAGTTATCTTATTTATTCACAGAGTATATTATTATGTAGCAGCCCTGACTAGTAGTTAATGAAACAACTCATTTCAACTGGATTGGGTGGTTGTCAAAATGGAGTGACATGTATTCATCTATACCTGACATTATACCCTCAGTTAACTGATGTGAAACAACACAAGTGAATAAAACTACGAAAAATTTCCAAGTTATAGATGTGAACACTACGAGAAATTTCCAAGCTGTGAACACAAGTAAGGGGAAGCAGATTACTACTTACATAGAAATTCATGCTGGTAAAAATACGTTGATTAATACTATAAAAATTGCCACACAATAGGAAGCAGCATCAAGTAAAAAACAAGCAAAATAAATTATTATATCAAACGATGTCCATAGTTAGTAGTGCTGTAAACACCAAGTACTTAAGACAAGGCAGGAATGAGACTACAAAATGTAATGCCACAGTCTCAGAAGCTGTCTGTAGGACATCACAACTGCAGACAACTGCCAGCTAAGGGCTGGCTGGAGGCAGCAGCTTAGTTTGGCTTGTAACGAGCAGCAGTTTGTTCAAGTCACTGTCAGCCTAGATTTGGATTGACCAAGCTGCTGGAGTTTGACATTTAATCAGAGTCTGGAAGCTAGACTGGTAAAAGAAATGAGTGCTCAACAGGTTGCTGTGGAAATTTCCTGTGAGAATGTCCTCAGTTTCCAAAAATCTGGTCTCGGCTCACGTGACACAATGTCCCATCCTGCCTTCTATTCTGTCTAGGGACTTGAAATGAAAAGGAAAAGCTGAGTCTTTATTATCTCTCAGTTTTGCACATTACCCTGGGCAAAGCCATTAAACAATTTTCTTAAATCTCAGCATTCCTCACTACCCAACTCCCTCTCAACATACAACATGAAATAAGCAACTGTAACCAACAACATGTTCCCAGAGATTTCCTGGCCAAAATCGCATCTCTAAAATCTGAAATTTCTTTATGCTTTCAAGTAACAGATGCCACTCTCACCCCATACTCAGAATAAGGCATTTAAAAGTTAACAATGTACAAATAATACCAACTATTTAATAAATTAGAATACAGTCACAGCTTTAAATTTCCTAATTTTTGTCATATAAACCTGCATCATCACCAGCCAGTGTGTAACTCACAACAGCCTTGACAAAAACATATAATAGAATTGATAGCTTTACAAGCCTCTCAATAAAATAAAACTACTTATTGAAGTGGTCACTTCATATAATGGAATTTTCATCACTGCACATAACATTAATGCAGCCAATTCATTCACTTCCTACATCTGGTTCTCACTTTAAAGTTGGACTGATAGAAGATGTAATGCATTCTGTCTGAAAGTTAAAAACAGATGCCTTCATAACTACTAAAATACTCCATTAAAAATGTTAACATCCTGTCCACACTGTCTTGAGCTTTGAGATGTATTATTACTCACAGCTTACCAACTGTTTCAAATTTAATTGAAATGTGAACAACAATTGTACATTCAGGCAGGTATGACAAAGTTAGTTATTTTAATATGAAAATCTCAGATATTTAACTGAAACAATAAAATTACATAAATGTGTTTATTGGTGTATTTATAGTCATAATATGCGAGCTCATAATGCAGCATTTAAGTTCATTAATGTAGATTGATTGGAAAACTGATATGTGATCCATGAATAAGGAAAAGGGAAAATACTGTAATTTTAAATGAAGTTTAACATATTCTTGATGTCTACAAGGACTGGTAGCAGTAAATTGGTAGTAGAAGTCAAATATCACTCTACGTTGCAGTAGGTCTTTTCATGGATATAGTATGATTTGGCCTGCCTCCCTCCAAAAACCATAAAAAAATATGTTCAAAATCCATATTTTTATATTACTTTGCAGATTCTATTCTTCTTATGAGATAGATGTGGATTTCAGAGTACATCCTACTCTGCAAAATCATCCTTACTCTTAAGTGAGCAATTATATAGCAGCTTTTCATGTCTTTTTCTGTACCTGGGTAAATATCATGAACAGGCCCTGGGGAGTATCCCATGGAATTATCTGCAGTGTCATGCGGTGATAGGGCTGGCTGGAGGGTCTGGATCGCAAGGCAGTCATTCAGGATGTCCTGGCCAAGCTCTGAGCTTGATTGCAACTGAAACATAAGAGATAAAAAAAAAATAGAAATTATAATATGGGCAAAAAACAGGAAATAATCATAAAAATCCTCAAGACAGTGAAAAATTATAATGAAGAAATGTTGAGAGATTAGGGAAAGAACCACAATCAGAAATCTTATCTTTTAAATCCTGATTAATATCATCCTTTATTATACCAGGCATTTTTTGAATCTGAGGAAGAAAATACTTCCAGATGCTTAACAAAACTATACTCAGGACAAGGGCTGCTTGTACAGTTAGGAACTTGGACAGATGGACTTCAGTGCATTCTCTTGTCATGCATTGCAAAAGAAAAGAGTGTCCTGGTTCATCAGTAAAGGAGATTTATCACGTGTCTGACATTGCTTGTATCAGCAGAGGGTACTATAATAAATAAAAATATTTTCATGCTCATTTAATGCCCTGGCTCACTGCAGGACCAGAAAAGCAAAGGTGCTCATGGCACTGGAAACAAGGGACTGGGAATGAGCAGCCAGGAGGGCTAACATTCATGACAGTCAGAATGGAAGTGGGACCACTTTATATGGACCAAAGTTGTCTGAGACACCATTGTTAAAGTGACTAGGACTATATTACAGCTGAACTGATCTAAGCATGAGTGCTGTGTCACTGCCACTAATCCCAGCTGCATGCATGGCCACTTGCCTTGTACCTGTTCCATCAACAGCAAGTCTGTTTATCTGGCTGATCCAGCAGAAAATTCACTCTGAAAACAATTAATAAACAAGTTCATAAGAAGAATTTTCCTTTGGATGAAACTGGATGAACAGTCTCACTCCAAGGCTACAATAAAATACAGGGAAAAAAAAATTAAAAAATTCACCAAACTAAAATAAGAAAAGGGAGGAAGCTTGCTGCAGCACCCTAACTCAAGGCTGTCTTAGCTGTAATGCCAAACTGTATGTTGAGGTTTATGGCAGATGGATGCTGCTCCAGGCTGCTGGCACTGATGCCGGTCCCAGCTTCATTTCTGATGTTACTGTTTTATATAACAAAAATTTGCCTGTTCCTTACAGCCATCGTGGTTCAGAGACTGGCGTATTCACTTAAAGCATCAATAAAGGAGGGTGTGAGCTTATATGCATGTTGGACACTGCAGTGGCTGAGATGCCCATAAATATCATGTCCTGTCCCCCATGCTGGTGCAGAGAAAGTTCATGCAGCATGACAGACAGAAACCTGACCTGGTGCAGTAAGATTTGCTGCACTTGTGCATCAGAGTCCCAAAAACCAAATGTCACAGATGCAATTGAGGTTTCTTCTCTCTTGTTTGTTGTCATGAGAGATGAGCAGGTAACAGTAACTAGAACATAACCTAGAACCTCTAAAAAACTCCCAGGGGGAGCAAGAGGAACAAGAAGAGAAATTTCTGTCCATCCTATACTCAGAAATTAATCAGAGAATGGTTTGAGTTGTAAGGCACCTTAAAGATCACCTCATTCCACCCTCTCTGCCACAAGCAGGGACACCTTCCACTAAACCAGGTTGCTTGGAGTCCCACCCAACCTTGAACACTTCCAGGGATGGGACAAATTAAGACAGGAGATTATTCTGAATGCAACTGTAAAAAGACCCATTACTGTGCCACAAGATGCTGATAAACATTGAAATTACTTTTGATAATATGCACTAGTACAAAACTGTTGCAACAGAGCAGAGAGTTGGTCTTACGCATCATAAGCACCTGACACAAGGTAACTGTAGGTAAGAGATATTATACAACCTGTAATACCTATGCACAGACTATGCATATTGTAGATTATTCCTTCTCCTAAAAATTTAGTGAGTAATTATTAAGCCCCAAGGTACACTACCTTTGTGAGGTATATCTGTATTCTAGAATTGTATCAAGGAGGGTGGGGTGGGGAAGAGGGAGAAAAGGGGAAATACCCTGAAAAATCCTTTTTGTTTATTATCCATATTTACAATCTGCTACAAGTACGAATATTTCTTCTGGTGCAGCACATATCACTGTCTAGTATTGCACACTAATTATGCTGGGTTTGCTGCTATCACTAGTTACATGGCTTTTTCATAAAATTAAGTGGTTGTGAAATTAAATGTCAAATATATCCTCATTCAAATTCTTATCAGTTAAGTTATTAATAAACATTATGTGACTTTAAATGTCTATGGAATTTAATATGAAAATAATGACGAAAAAATTTGACTTCTATAGAAACCATAAGATTCCATCACATAAAATACAAATTCACAGAAGTTGCCTGCATAAAGTTGTTTATTTGTGCACTTTTTTTGCAAGAAACAGATCGATTTTCTGTATCAGATAGCACTCATATGGATAAAACAGTGCACAAAACAGGGAGAGCTAACTATTTACACATTAGTTACAAGAATTAAGTAATTCTTGTAAAATAAAATAGGCAAACTCCTATTTTACAAATTTTTCTATTTTGCACTGTTCAGGAGTTTTGTTTGCATTCACAAATCCTTTGATATTTAGAACAAACCTATCATGAGAATTTGTGCTGACAAATTTTCTGGCTTGACCAATAGTGAATGCTTATAAAGACAAAGAAACCCCAGGATTATCAACAGGAAAACAAAACCAAAGAAATAAACGCTATGAGACAGCTGTGACCTGATTTCTGAAGACAGTTCTTATTTCATGTACTGGCTATTGTTGATTCATATTTACAACCACAAGGGCTAGAAATACATATTTTATAATCTTACATACACACACAGAATGCAAGTGTATGTATTACAATACCTAAAGTTATGCTATTTTCTATGGCATCAGGCCTGCCAGAGTCAGATGGGCTTCATCTATCTTGCAAGGGCAAAAGGACTCTAGCCTTGTCAGGGCTGATCAGGAGGACTTTAAACTAGTTTTGAAGGGGGAAGGAGTTGAAACCAGGCTCTCCAGAGACAAGCCTGAGGGTGGAAAGCCAGAGTTAGAAGTGAAATCAGCAGCCCAGCTGAAGTGCATGTACACAATGCATGCAGCATGGGTAACAAACAAGAGGAGCTGGAAGCCATCGTGCAGCAGGAAAGCTGTGATGTAGTCGCCATCACGGAAACGTGGTGGGATGACTCACATGACTGGATTGCTGCCATGGGTGGCTACAAGCTCTTCAGAAGGGACAGGTAAGGTAGGAGAGGTGGAGGGGTGGCTCTATATGTTAGAGAGTCTCCTGACTGTAGAACTTAAGTCAGTAATTATAAGGTTGAGTGCCTGTGGATCAGAATCAGGGGGAAGGCCAACAAGGCTGACATCCTGATGGGAGTCTGTTATAGACCACCCAGCCAGGATGATGAGGGTCATGAATTATTCTATAAGCAGCTGGCGGATGTCTCAAAATCGCCAGCCCTTGTCCTTGTGGGCGACTTTAACCTGCCGGATGTCTGCTGGGAACTCCACACAGCGGAGAAGAGGCAGTCTAGGAGATTCCTAGAATGTATAGAGGAGAATCTCCTGCTCCAGCTGACAAATGAGCCTACCAGGGGTGGGGCCCCACTAGACCTGCTGTTCACAAACAGAGAGGGGCTGGTGGGAGATTTGGTGGTCAGAGGCCATCTGGGGTACAGTGACCAAGAAATAATAGTTTTCAGTACTCAGGGATGCAAAGAAGGCCATCAATAAAACTTCTACCTTGGACTTCCGGAGGGCAGATTTTGGCCTACTCAGAAGACTGGTTCAGAGGGTGCCTTGGGAAACAGCCCTTGAAAACAAATGGTTCCAGGAGGGATGGACATGTTTCAAGAAGGAAGTTTTGAATGCACAGGAGCAGGCTGTCCCAGTCTGCCGAAAGGTGAGCTGGCGGGGAAGACGGCCAGCCTGGCTGAACAGGGAAATTTTGAAGGAAATTAAGGGAAAAAAGAGAGCTTACTGACTATGGAAAAAGGACTGGCTACTCAGGAAGAGTTTAGGAATATAGTTAAGTCATGTAGAAAGAAAATTAGAGAGACAAAAGCACAATTTGAACTCAATCTAGCCACTTCTGTTAGGGATAACAAAAAGTGCTTCTACAAATACATCAATAGCAAAAGGAGGGGCAAGGAAAACCTCCAATTCTTAGTTGGACATGGGGGGGAACATAGTCACCAAAGATGAGAAAAAGGCTGAGGTACTTAACACCTTCTTTGCCTCATTTTTCAACAGTAAGACAGGTGGTCCTCAGGACAAGTGGCCTCTGGAGCTGATAGACAGAGACAGGAAGCCGAACAGCCCCCCTGTAATCCAGGAGGGAACCTGCTGAGCCACTTGGATCCCCACAAGTCTATGGGACCAGATGGGATCCATCTTAGGGTGATGAGGGAGCTGGCAGAAGAGCTCACCAAGCCACTCTCCATCATCTACCAACAGTCCTGGCTCACTGGGGAGGTCCCAGATGATTGGAAGTTGGCGAATGTCACGCCCATCCACAAAAAGGACTGCAAGGAGGACCTGGGAAACTACAGGCCTGTCAGCCTGACCTCAGTGCCTGGCAAGGTTATGGAGCAGATCATCCCAAGTGCAATCACACAGCACCTACAGGATGGACAAGACCCAGCCAGCACGGTTTTAGGAAGGGCAGGTCCTGTCTGACCAACCTGATCTCCTTTTATGATCAGGTGACCTGTCTGCTGGAGGAGGGGAAGGCTGTGGATTTGTCTATCTGGACTTCAGCAAAGTCTTTGGCACCATCTCCCACAGCATACTCCTGAAAAAGCTGGCAGCCCACGGCTTGGACAGGGGCGCTCTCTGCTGGGTTAGGAACTGGCTGGAGGGCCGGGCCCGGAGAGTGGTGGTGAACGGTGCTGCATCCAATTGGCAGCCGGTCACTAGTGGTGTCCCCCAGGGATCAGTGTTGGGCCCAGTTCTATTTAATATCTTTACTGATGATCTGGATGAGGGGATTGAGTCCACCATTAGCAAATTTGCAGATGACATGAAGTTGGGAGGGAGTGTCGATCAGCTGGAAGGCAGGAGGGTTCTGCAGAGGGACCTGGACAGGCTGGAGAGTTGGGC